TACTAGTACTACCAATACTACTACTACTACTACTACTACTGCTACTACTACTACTTCTTCTACTAGTACTACTACTACTACTACTACTACTACTAGTACTAGTACTACCAATACTACTACTACTACTACTACTACTGCTACTACTACTACTTCTTCTACTAGTACTACTACTACTACTACTACTACTACTAGTACTAGTACTACCAATACTGCTACTACTACTACTACTATTACTACTACTACTACTACTACTACTACTACTACTGCTACTGCTACTGCTACTACTACTGCTACTACTACTACTACTACTACTGCTGGTCATCACTACTATTACTGCTGCTACTATTACTAGTACCAGTACCAATACTAGTACTAGTACTAGTACTCCTAGTACTACTACTACTACTACTACTACGACTACTACTACTCAATCACTGTCATTACTACTACTACTACTACTACTACTTCTTCTTCTACTCCTACCCCTCCTACTCCTAGTCCTGCTCCTCCTACTCTCACTCCTATTCCTTTTCCTATTCCTGCTCCTACTCCTCCTACTCCTCCTACTACTACTGCAATTTCGACGACGACGACGAATACTACTACTACTACTACTACTACTACTACTGTTCAATTACTATTACTGGTACTACTGCTGCTGCTACTCTGCTATTATAACTACAACGACTACTACTATTAGTTCTAGTTCTGGTACTTCTACTATTACTCTTACTACTACTGCTGCTAGGACTGCCTTGCTTTAGATTTCTTCTTCGTAGCTGCGACATTACAGCTCCGAAGTTGCCGAGTTGGACATGTGACCTGCCATGCAGTGTCAGCTCGCTGACGGTGCCAAGTGGGAGCCAAAAACTACTGCTGCTACGACGACGGCGACCACGACCGCGACCACGCCCACCACCACAGCTACTACAACTTCCAGGATCACTACTGCTACTACTGCTGCTACTGCTGCTATTACTACCTTGACCAAAACGATGACGACAAGGACTAGACCTACTACTACTACTACTACTACTACTACTACTACTTCTACTGCTACTGCTACTGCTACTGCTACTACTACTACTACTACTGCTGCTGCTGCTACTACTGCTACTAACTACTACTACCACAACGACGACGACTACCACTTCTGCTACGACTACCGCTGCTGCTGTCGTGTCTGATATCAGGTCACAGCAGGACTTCTTCGGCATGTTGCCACCGCTGGTCAATAATATTTTGCGCGTCTGATTAACGCAAACCCACGCAGTCGCTGGAACGGCGGACTGCATATAATACTACGCTTTTCGACTGCCTGCCTCGCGGCGAAAGCTCCCTACTCTACTTCTGGTTTCGGGTCTAGGGCTGCATCTACTGCTACTACTACGACTGCTACTTCTATAACTACGACTACTACTGCGAGTACCTAGTAGTAGTACCAGTGCCGGTACTGGTGCTGAGTGAGGTGCTAGTACTAGTGCTCGTACTACTACTATTGCAAGTACCACCATGCTACTACTGCTGCAAGTACTGCAAGTACTACTACTACTACTACTACTACTGCTGCTACTACTACTACTACTACTTCTTCTTCTTCTAGTGCTACTGCTACTAAACAAGGACGCGGCAAATCAATAATAATAGCCACAGAAGCAAAAATATGGTCACAAAAATAGGTCCTGCTGCACATGCCTCCATTTCGGCCAAGGTGAGACGCTTTGCTTTGAGGTCTTGGACGGCTATTCTGAGTGCACCTCTCGAAATGAGGCCGGGCGATTCAAAGCATGTTGCACGCCATTGATGCCGACATGGATTTTTAGCATGTCTCTGGCCTATTTGATGCAGGGGTTCCAATCCTGTGCACAGCGGACCAATGAAAAGGGGACGCTCTGTGGGTGGAAAGATCGGGAGCCTTAGTGGCAAGTGTCCCCAACCACCATTTCGGAACAGCATCTGAAGGGTAACCGTGCAGCTTTTGCGAGGAGCAAAAGTGCTTCACATCCACGTTCAACTGCAAGGCTCTCGAGCCCTGCTGTGCCCTGCTTCCGTTGTGTGTAGATGGACTCGCACATGCCAGTAAAGAGGCCGCCCACGGGCCACATAACCAGATGACTACGACCCCACACAGCACCTACCAGGCAGGCCGCACCGCAGAATGCATAGGGGGGCATAGAAGCCTTGGAAGCCGAGGGCCGGGAGTGACGCGTCTTTGCTTGAAGAGGAATACGTGACGGATGGGAAGAGCGATGCCTACAAAATGCTGTCCTAGGTGAGCGAGGGTACCTTGGCTTGGTGCCAGGAGAAACTTGCAAGAGGACAGCGCCAAGACGGGCAAATCATTTGATGCGGTCTCGTTTGCCTTACCGAGGGAATGTCCGGGGAGTTAACGGTCGAGCACGAGTGAGCCAGCTCCAAAATCCTAAGCAGGTGACGTCACAGCCTGCCCCGTTGGTCTGCGAATCAATGTGCTGAATGCATTCGCAGCAAAGTGGCATGCAAGCGGAAATCGTACCAAGTTGCTGTCACACGGATCGCTCGAAAGAAGCGTGGCAATGACATCCATCTTCGCCACTTTGGTTTGCGACAAGCAGCGGAACCCGCCATTTGCCATGCTTCGAGGTGTGACCGCTGATGTGCGTGACTGGAAAGGGGCCCGGAGCTCAGCCATACCAAACAGACAGCACGATGGGTGTAGGTGAGTTCAGTGAGATTGCCCGCATGAGAAAGGCCCAGAGCCGCTGCTTGATAGATGTAGTACAAAAGTCTGATGCTCTTTGCTGCCGTGTGATAGTCGTGTCATCTCGCGCCTATGCCTCCATGTACAAGGGCAATCTATGAAAGATGTGTCATGAGGAATTCAGCACGAGTGCCCCAGAAAGCAGAACTGGTCTCTTGGCTGAGGTGTACGAAGCAGCCCGCGTCATGGAAAAGCTCAGCTCCTACCACGGCCCACATGGCTGGAATGAGTCTTTGCAGAATTTCACGAGCCTCCGAGCAGCTCACAGCCGTTAGTACTTGGGATCCAAAGTTGGCAAGAGCTGTGCCATTTTCAAGCACAGCGAGACTCCTCGTGCGTCACTGCATTGCTCGTGCGTATCTGCCGAGGATCCAGACATGCTCATCGGAAGCAGCCAGGGTGCCAAACTCTTGCTCACTCCTGCCCGATGCTCAAGGACCAATGCACGCCTGGGCAGCGCATAGCAGCGCAGTCATTCCTCTGATGTCGTCGAAGTCCGGAGCACCGTAGGGCGGCGCAGTGATTCAGATATTGGTGTGACGATTGTGGACTCTTCTGAGGCCCAGTCCAGAGCACAGTTTTCGCTGTGGGCCGGCTTCCTACACCAAGCATGGGTGTGGGTGCAGGTTGGCTGGGGCTTCGTTTAGGCTCGCCGCATGTTGTCTTCTGATCTGTGCTCTCGTTTTTGGGCATCTCGACTGATTCGGGGTGCGGATGGAGCAATCTTGATTGGAGAGGATCATGTTCTCCCGCTTCATGGAACTCTGCTCCGAGGGTTTGTTGTCCATGGGCTTAGGCAGTCATGTCGGCGCCACTCATGCTGGGGGCCAACGTGCTCAAACTCACCGACTTCGATCTCGAGCCTAGCAGAAAAAGCTGCAGTGGCAACACGCAGCACGAACATCGCCAAGAGCACTTCGTAGATGCTGCAGCTGAGGAGACCTACAGCTTCCCGGCAGAAAGGGGCTTGGGCCAAGGCTTGGGCCATCTAGGGCCCATGATCTTATCAAAGTCTCAGTGTGTGAACTTCGGCTTGGGTGACAAGTAAGGTAATGCAGACGCCATCCGAATAAACCAAGATCCGATGTTTGAATCAGGACCGTTCCTCGCTCTGAAATGGAGCTGAGCTGTAAGCGAGTCATCACGAGCTGTGCGAATGCTGAGGCAGGTGTGCATCAAAGCTGTCCGTTGCTTTTCGGCAGGACGGGTCGTTCATTCCAATTGTCCCGACTATCCATCTTTTAGGACAGGCGCGACTGAGTGTTGTCATGCGGAGCGTCAAGTTAACAACGGCGGGTAGCAGTTGTCCCAAGTACTGGCAAGCATGCCAACCCGGAGCCTCAATTTCGTGGCAGGTGTGAAGCCAGATGGATCTCCACTCTTCGAGATCTTGTGGCCTGATGGGGGGGCAACTTGCCTGCAAGCCCCGACCTTGTGTCAACATTTCAGGTCTTGGTCTTTGCATGTCTTCGGCGCACGGTAGCTATTGAAGCGATTGATAAGGAATATCATGGAATCTCGGAAGTGACCGTCCGACAGCCTATCCTAAGGTCAACTGTGGCAGACACTATGCCAAGAATTGACTCTCAGCACAGCAAAGACGGAGCCCTGTCCCACTAGTCCTGCACTGCTTTGGTGAAAAACCCAGGTGCACTGTGCAGCAGCCACGGCCGCGACGATTGCTTCGGCGATTGTGAATGGCGGTCACCAGGAGCCAGGGGCAATCAGGGGCAAATGGGCGGTCGCCTGGTGAGGGAAGCACATAATGTGCTGACGGCTGACGCGACTTCACATCTGTTGTCACTGCTTCGCAGGGTTCGTCCTGCTCCAGGCAACAAGCCGCCCGCATGCCTCCCTGCATACAAGAACGACACCGCGTCTGCCCTGGGCACTGGATGACTTCTGTTGGCAGAGAGCGCTTCAGAAGTTGTGGCCTCAGGCCAAAACCGAAGTGGTCTGTGGTAACCACAAGGTGTGGGGAGCTTTTTGCATGTTCCATCGGAGCACTCCTGCGCGTTCGTCACAGGCCGCGAGCTGCGCGGACTGCCCTCAAGGCCATGGAAGGCGGGAGTGACAAATGCCAAACAGGGTTTGGGAGCTTGGGCCCTGGAACGACGTAAGATTTGACAGAGAGAGTGAGCTTCAAGGACATGGTGCAATAAAGACTGCTTCTGGTTCGACGAGGGCAGCTGCGTGCCTTCCTCAAACCCGGAGCAGGCACGCATCGAAGACCGCGCTTGGGCTGCATTTACACCATTGGACCAGTCTGTAGCCGTAGCCACTAAAGTTTAAAGATCATGCTCGCCATCAGTCCTAAGTTTTGGCTTTCTCGGTGATGTCAGGTTGGCATCCCTGGACAGTTTCCATTTTCCATGCCGAGGACGTTTGGAGCCGAGTCACTCTAGCGCGTTCATGCCTGCTACCGAAGGAGAAGCGGCAATGCCAGATAGTGTGGGCCAAGACTCTAAGCACTTTGGATGCACGTGGGCCGCATAGAAAGCCTCCCTGCTAGACAGCTGCGAGGTGGCGGTTCAACGGCGGTTGCAGCCGTGAACTTTGCAAAGACTCCTGCGAACCTGGTGTTGCCCCTTTCCTCGGTGCTGAAGCCTTGGCAGGCGCCACTGTCACTGAACAAGCTTGTGGTTTTTGGGATGTATTAGAGAAGAGTCCATGGACGGACGCCTGCAGTCTGCAGTTTGAGTTTGGCTTGCGTTGACATAGTATGCTGCTTCTCCAAATGTCTTCCCGAACATGTTGCGGCGGCAGGCTGGTGTTTTGGTTCGAAACCTCTGGCTGCTTGGCAGAGCGTTCACGCCCCCTTCGAAGACTCTCTGGCAGAGAACTAACACCACTGAGGTCCTCGAACAACTGTTGCTGTAGCGGGGGATCCCGTGCGGTCACAGCTGCAAGGTACGGCGAGGAACGGGTAGAGGAGACGAGCCTGAATCTGCAACTGGAGGCCTGCCCTGCATCTCCAAAGCTGGTGCCTTGAAGACCTTCGTGAGAAATCTGGAGTGACTGTAGACTGAGTGCACAGGCAGATGGTGGCCATGAGCTGCTCGAGCTGATGGATCCGGACAATGCACCTGTCAATACCGCCAGGGACCCAAAAACCCGGCTGTTAGGAGATTGGGAGATTCAGAATCTGAGGGGCTCTTGGAATTTCCATTTCGAGGCCGCGAGGGAACGGCCAAGGCCCAGCAGGCGAGGAATCAGGAACCGAGGGTCCACTTGCGAGCAGATTGGGTTTGGGTGCAGGCGGAAGAAATCGACCGTCAAGTCACGCTCACCTCTGCTGGAGCAGGCGCCTTTGCCAGGTCGTAGTCCTTGTGCCAACATTCGCGCTCGCAGTTTGTTTTGCTGTCGTGGGCTGACCAAGATCAGCACGTGCATGGAATGAAGTGCCAGATGCTGCATGCAAACGAAGGCTGCTGTTTAGGGAATACCTTGCAAGATGCTCGGCACCACGGGGGCCTACTCCTGTGTACGTCAAAGGGGCTCGAGTTGTAACAGGAGGTCCAACGAATGCTGCAATGCATTTGTCTCCAGCTCACAGTGCGCCGTATCTATGAGATGCACCAGCGGAATCCCACGGATACTCGAAACAACAGGCCCGCTTCTTGGTCTCCAGGTCCGTGAGGTGTCGGCTCAACCCACAGAGCCTGCGACAGACGGCAGCCTGGAGGTGGGGCAGTCGCCGTGGCCACGAGGGTTCCAGGATACTGGTAGCATCTGGTAGCTGCAGCAGAGTCAGAGTGAGTATGTCGGAATTGATTCCGGATGGAGATGCCAGGCGCTGCTTGCCCGAGCACCACGGTCGGCTTTAGAAGATCTTGTGCGACACTCGAGCCTTTTCTTCCAACTTGTGCCCATGCTGCGGCTTCGGGGTGTTGAGGGTCTATTGGGTCTAGCATGGTCTAGCCAAACTCCGGTATCCTCTGCTCGCTGGGATGCAGGATCTACATAGACTCCAGCGGTCCATTCGTGCCTTCGCGAGAGCACCGCGACGTTTATGTGGCCAAAGGCTGCGGCACTAGTCACCAGTTGTGAAGGCGGCGCCGACAACATTCTTGTTCTGTTGAGCCCGGTTGCCTGAAGTGTTTCTGCTCCATTGTAAGGATCCGCGGGCACTCTTCGGTGACGCACCTCCGACTCCAGTTGATTTGGGAGTTTCTGATGAGTGGGGGTCTTTTTCTTTTCAGATCATCACATGCTATGTGCTGACACTGGTTAGTGGAACTAGAGGCAGGGCCCATGTCGCAATGGCTTGTTGTTCGGGCACAGCCAGGTGATCGCAAGCGGAGGGGATAGCTGCTTGAGCACAGGAACACAGAGGCACCCCAAGCTTGAAAGCACAAGCGCCACGAGGATCGAGGATTTGCTGCGCCGCTGGCCACCAGAGCCCGACGAGCCAGGCCTTCTAGGGGGCAGAAATCCGACGGGGGGATCGTCAACTACCAAAGAGTGGACGGCTCGGCGACTTCGAACAACTGCAGCCCAATTGCCAGTCAAGGCACCTCTGTTCTTCCGCCGGAATCGATGCCCACGTGGTTAGATGCTTGACTGGAATGTGTTGCTTGAGCCTGATTCGAAACCGTTTTCTGCTGCTAGTAAAAGGCGGATCAAAGCAGCTTGAGGTACTGGCTTCCATGGCTGCGCTGACCTTCGTCCTCTGCCTGCGTGGCCGACGCATCCACACACAAAAGATGGGATAAAGAAGTCCTGAATGACCACACAGCCACACACTGTTAGCTGTTTCTGCCTTGATTCGGCACTCATACAAGCAAGCCCATTATGCCAACAGCGTCAAAGTCTGATATACCCCCAAGCCGCGAAGCTAGTGAGTGCGCAGGTGAATGGGGAAGAGTGGTCCTACGGTGCTACAGAGACGGAGGACTTTGCTATTATTCACCGTTCCATGCATTTACGAAAGCTGAAAGGCCCTCTCGACTGCATCCTGTCTTGAAGGAGGAGCCGGGTGTCAATCGGAGCCGACCCAAGATGCACCCAGACCACCACTACAGGCACTTTGGAGCAGCTTCACGACGGCTGAGAAATTTATGCCGATCCATGCAGCATGCCGCAGGCTTCCGGAAAAAGACATGGCACCCTCTTGCACTGGACTAGAACGTCCTGTCGAGAAACTGATCCAACCCTGACAGTCGCCCTAATTAGACTTCTTTCACTGGTCGATTCCAGTTGTGCTGGGGAGGCAAACCGTGGTGATGCCCTGCACACATCTCTCGGTGGGGCCCTGATGTCTCTCCGATTCATGATTCTGTCGTGAGTCTTGGGCTTTCTCGGTGGGGCCCTGATGTCTCTCCGATTCATGATTCTGTCGTGAGTCTTGGGCTTTCGCTGCGAAGAACATTGAGATTTTCAGAAGACCCAAAGCCAACGCCGAACAAGAGCAGAAACAACAACAACGACAAGAGCAACGGTAATAATCACCACTGAAGGCAAGAGCCATAATCACTCGGCCAACAAGAACAGCGGGGAAATGTTATTAGCGAATACTAGTTGGCCTAGTAACATCCACAGCACCAGCATACAAAAAGAATGCCGCCATTTGCAACTTGACAGCCGTGACTCCTAAGCCTATCTTGTCACACAGCAAGACAAGGCCGTGCAAATCAAGGAGATGACGGAGCAGCTCTCACAGGAGCGCCTGCCCTACAGTGTTTGGTGTTGTGGATACCGTCGCTATCGTTTTGCCCAACAAACACTCAAGAAAATACAGCCCCAATTCAGCTGCAGGCCAGGCCGTGTGTTTCCGGCTTATCTCGGTGAAGTTGGGCTACCAATACCATTGCCATGCATGAATCGTGTACACGAGCTTCTGATGACCATAGTTTTCCATTCCCAGACAGCATGGAAGGGTATCTTGTTTCCCGCAAGCACGAATCGTTCATGAAGCTGCTTGCTTGAACCATGAAGTCCAATGATGGCCATGGCCGTACCTGGTGTGCGGACCTCTCCCTCGTGTGGACTTTCCCCCTAATACTCAAGAGCCTGAGAAGGCCGTTGCGACCCGAGGAGGTGCCAGCAGTACCTGCAGACCTCAGAGCGGCACAGATTGTGTCGCAAGCGCAAGATGTCTGGCAAGCAGAGAAGGAACGCGCCCTTCGGCTGGGACAACAACCTAACCTTGAGCGCGTGTTCTGGAAGGTTTGCCGTAAAGATGTCGTCATTGGCTCGCTGTTTGGGTGCGCCAGTGGAATTGTGACGACTGTGGCACGCCCATTGCTTCTGCAAGCTCTCGTGAACGGCCTGGCCACCGACTCAGACACCTGGAAGCTCTCGCTGTTGGCTGCCGCCCTCAGTTTGGCATTGATGTTTGAGGGTATGACTTTATCACTCTCTCGGCACATGATCATGGGCCGCATTGGCGTCCGCTTCAATGCAACCTTTGCAGGCTTGGCACATGTGCACTCCATGAGAGTGGCGACATGTCATGCCCGGGCGCAAGATGCTCCAGACATCGGGAATTTGGTCGGCAACGATGCCGTGCGCTTTCAGCAGAATCTCTTTACCCTGTCGTTGGTGCCCGGTGCTTCCGTGTCTCTCATTGGAGGCATCGCCATCTTGGTTTACACACTGGGCGTGGCTGGTATTGTTGGCCTTGCCTGCATGATCGGCATGTTGTTCCTAAACACAAGAATTTCACAGCTGGCGAAGAAGGCCGAGAAGGACAACTTGGCCAAGACCGATGTACGTATGCACATTATGACTCAGATTGTCCAAGGCATCCGTGCCATCAAATTCTGTGCGTGGGAGGAGAGTTTCAAGACGATCCTTTCCAAGGAGAGAGCGCTGGAATGCATTCCGCTGAAGTGGTATCGAGTCCTGACGCAAAGCACCGTGCAGATCGGTCGCGCGAATCCTATTGTGGGCTGTTTGTTTGCATTCCTGCTGTTGGCCATATCCGCACGGAATGACCCGGAGTCTTTCAGGCCTTCGGATATTTTTGCAGCATTGAACGTGTTTCTGGCACTTCGGTCGGGCTTGATTGCCATACCTGAGGGGCTCATCTACATTGCGACGACACGCGTAGCAGTCCGGCGCCTTCAAGATTTCTTGGTTACACCTGAGGCTCTACACCACGTGACGCAGGAGGATTCTGGTCCTTGCATCAGAGTACAGAGTGCATCTTTCCGCTGGCCTGAGAAGCAGTCTGGTGTCGACTCCCCGGAGCATGCGCCGGAGCGCTCGGCCTCCACACGGTCAGTAAAAAGTGCGATGACGCCGGGCACTGAACTGCTGGTCGATGATGTCGAGGTTCCTCGCGGCTGCTTCGCCGCAGTCGTTGGCAGTGTTGGCAGTGGAAAGAGCTCGCTGGTTGCAGCTTTATTGGGCGAAATGCCCCCGACCAGTGATGGCGTTGTCGAGCTCAGAGGTCGACGACTGGCCTTCATACCGCAGAAGGCTTTTGTGCTAAGCGGCACCATCAAGGAGAATATCGCCTTTGCGGAAGAGGACCCAAGCGAAGTGGATTTTCAGGCGGCTCTAGCTGCAGCATCGCTTTCCGAGGATCTGACCCGGATGCCCAAGCGGGAATTCACTGAGGTCGGGGAGAGAGGGGTGGTGCTTTCAGGAGGACAGCAGCAGCGGCTCTCCATTGCCCGAGCACTTTATCGCCGGGCCGATCTAGTAATCGCAGATGATCCAATCTCGGCATTGGACCCGATTGTGGCAGATGAGGTCTTTCTGTCTCTGAAGAAATGCGTCACCGCTAGTGGTGGATGCCATTCGTGCCTCGTCGTGCTGAACCAGCCATGGCTGCTGACACATTTTGACCATGTTCTCATGGTTGCAGGAGGACAGGTCGTGCAACGAGGCACACCTCAGGAGCTGCTTCGATCAGACGGGCCTTTGAAATCCTTTTGTTTGGAGTCCGGCTGCGACATTCCTTCGATGCTGTCTAGAGTGGGTGCAGAAGCAGAGGAACCGCTGGCGGATGGGCAAAAAACTGGGAAGATGGAGGGCAAACCTGTGGAAGGGGTCACAGAGCTGGTAAAGGCAGAAGAAAAGCTGGCAGGTGGCGTGCCTTTGCGAGTTCTGGTCCGCTACGTCAGTGGCATGGGCTTTGCGTGGTTCGGGCTTTTTGGAGAGATGCTTAGTCTTTGTTCCTTTTAGACACTGGACTTGATCCTGCTGCAGCCTCGTCTGCCTTCTTTCGTTCAAACCAGCCGCGAATTAGTCTTCGCTTTTCTGTGTTATTCCCCGAACAGTGGTACAAACTATTTGGTTGTTGCTTCGGAGTGAACAGAATTGGTTAATGTGGGCGCGAGGCGCATCGTGTGCGATCACGTCCGATTATTTACACACGGTCCGTAGCGGATGGCCAGGCCCATTGTAAATTTCGATACATGAGCCACTTTTTAGCCTCGAAAACTTTGAATCCCGCCACTACCCGAGGGAAGGCCGTGCTCCTGAATCCACAAGTACTTGGGGGGAAGCGTTCTCCTGGTGGTCTGGTGGTCATTCCTCATGGTCTGCCGGTGGACGTGGTGGTCGCTGTCGTCGCGGTTGTCGTGGTCGTCGTGGTTGTGTGAAGATCTACACTGGCATAATCACGCCGATTCTAACATCAAAGACCTAATGGTGTAGCGATGTGTGATGGCTGTCTTTCACACTTGTTTACAGAGCCTACCAGCATCAGGCTTTGCAACTTCTTGGTCCTTCTAGCCTACTGCACCTTGGGCTTTGTCGACTACTGGCTTGCACTCTGGGTGGAGGCAAGAGAAGCTTACTGGACTGAGGGCAAGGTGTCGAATGACGACTTGTACGTTGCAGTCTACGGGATTGCAGCGGCAATGTTTGTCGTTCTGATGTGCCTGACATCCTACTGCTTCGGTGAGGGCGGCGTGCGGAGCTCGCGTCATTTGCACAGTGAGTGCTTGAACAACTTGCTCCATGCCCCAGTCCACTTCTTTGATGCCACTCCCTCGGGCAGGATCATGTCCAGATTCTCGAACGATATCGCCATTGTGGACAAAGAGATACCAAAATGGATCGACAATGCATGGCAGCTGTCGGCCACAACGATAATGCTTTTCGTCCAAGTTGTAGTCCTGGTCAATCTGATGTTGCCAGTCGTGGTTACTGCTGCCTGCCTTTTCGTACTGCAAATCATCGTTATCTACCGCACCAACCGCGAACTGCGCCGGTATGCTAATGCAGCCATGGGACCCGTCCTTACCACTGTAAACGAGTGCGTGAACGGACGGCAAGTTATCCGCACCATGGATGCCAGAGACTTTTTTGAGAAGCGGCTTTGCGCAAACCTGGACGACTACCATCGCTTCAGCTTCTCAGCGCTGGGGTCCGTGAATGCAGGCGGCGTGTTTGCCTTCCTCATCTGCTTTCTGACGGCCAGCTCTACGTCGGCCGTGGTCATTGTCAACAGGGACCAGTACCCGCCAAGCTTCTGCGCGCTCGCGCTGACCTATAGCTTCCTGATGCCATACTTCCTGAACTTCCTGTCCATGACAGTCCAGCTGCTGCTCACAGCTCTCACAGGTAAGCACTAGGACCAAGCCAGAGACGGAGAGCCGGAGAGCCGGAGAGACAGAGACCTTTTTGGCCAAATCTCATGCACAGGCTTGGAGCGGCTCCTCCAGTACGGCGACCAGGGTATTCTCCCAGCCCGAGCCTGAGTTCTGTGTCGTGGCCTTGGCATTCGTGGCTTGTGGCTTTCCCCCAGGCCGAGCCGCCCTGGCAGCTGAGCAGCGACCGGAGCCCATCCGAAGTGTGGCCGGCGGCGGGCCGTGTGACCTTCGAAGCGGCATCTCTCTTGCATCTATAGATGTCTCAAAATATCGCTGAATCCCCCTGTCGCTTCGGAGCTCAGGTGTCCTTGGTCTACAGACCTGGTCTCCCCAAAGCGGTGGATGGTATTTCTTTCGAGCTTCGGCCAGGAGAGAAGGTGGGGGTTGTGGGTCGCTCAGGTGCTGGCAAGAGCACGCTCATGGTCCTCCTCCTGCGACTCAACGAAGTAACAGAGGGCCGCATTTTGATCGATGGGGTGGACATCTCCAAAATCGGGCTCGGTAAGCTTCGCAAAGCCATCGCAGTCGTTCCACAAGAGCCCCTCCTCATCGAAGGGACTGTGCAGGAGAACTTGGACCCCTTCGCCGAGCATTCGAGCCAGAAGCTTGCTGAAGTCCTGGAAAAAGTGGAGTTGGAGCCCAGCTTGCTGGCTCAAGCAAGCTCTGCGTCGACACTTAGCCAAGGGGAACGCCAGCTCCTCACACTGGCTCGAACTTTATTGTGGCCTTCAAAAGTACGTGTCTTTGATGAGCCGACTTCCAACATCGATGCGGCCACCGACCGGCTCATTCAGCGGTTTTTGCGATCCCCGACCATGTTCGGCCAGTCGACTCAGATTACCGTCGCGCACCGTTTGCAGACGGTTGTGAGCTGTGATCGTATTCTTGTCATGTCCAGCGGGAAAGTTGTGGAAAGTGGCCCGCCTCGAGAGCTCTTGGACAGACCCGATTCTCATTTGTCGGCTTTAGCAGCGCATGCCGGGGTGGAGTTGAAGACTCCCCACGATACTGAGCGCACGAAGCTCACCCTGTAGAGAAGCCACATGCGTTGTGAGATAGCATAGCCTCACTGTGCAGAAGTGCTTCTTCTACACAACTCTGGAACCTCGCAAGGTTCAGCAGAGCACCAGTTTTCGATGCCTGGCAAAGTCGTGTGGGACAGTTCTGGTGCAGCTTTTTCCTCTAGGACTCTAGGCCATTGTATGGATGCTGTCGCAGGCGCAGTGGTCCCCACAAATACCTTTCGGAAGCTGCGCTGGAAAACACGCTTTCACGGCGTCCCTGCTTCAGCTTGGTAGTTATAGCATAGCCTATAGTAGCCTGGCAGAGCCTGGCATAGGAAATTCCTGCGAAGTGAGGTGCCAGACCTCAGTTTTGCGCTTGTGCATGTTGCTGGCCGTAATTAGGCCAGCAAGATCAGCAAGGAGGGGCCACGAAGGGCCTCGGCTTGAGGCCGGACCTTGCGGAACTGCAGGTCCCTTCGATGCTCTTGCTGCGCATTCCAAAAGTCGGGCTGTGCTGATGTATTCGCTCTGCATCGACAATGGACAAGAGCTGAGGTATCCGGGCCCTGCCTATGACTTGCTGCGAAGGCCTGCGGCACGTTGGATCATTGTCGGATGTCAGAAGAATGTGACGCCCTGCAGGAATTGTTGCCACTTTGCCGACGACTTTTGCCAGCGCCTCGGCCCAGAACTCAGCGAAGTGAGGAGCTGGAGCTCCACACGCGCCCGAATGCGAGCTCCGCGAGCTCTGCTCTCTCTGAGGTGTGGGCCGCATCCCTTCTTGGGCCCGGGCCTCCGAAGCCTAGAAGCGGGTCACGACCTCTGTGAATTTCACGCTGCCGCTGCTTGGAGGTCTACAGGCTCGCCCGCATCGCAGCCAGAATTGAGAACTTTCTGCAGGCGCCCGCGGGGAAAGGGGGGGGGGGTTGGCAGGATGCAGCTTGACAGGACTCTATGCAGCTCGCATTCACCAGTCGCCGGGAATGGACATTATCTGGTCATTGCAGATCCGACAGGCCGCGCAGCGAATTCGAACTCCATGCTAGACTTGCGGAGGGCTCGGACAATCATCAGCTGCCTTGCAAAAGGCCCTCGGTTTATAGAATGTTGCTGGTATGGAGCTCCGCTTATGTTCAGGTCAGAGCATTTCAAGCTCCCCCGGCAAGAGCTCGAACGAGCGTCGGATCAAAACGACGGTTGGCACCAGAAGCACATTTGTGAATGTGTCCCCCGGTTGTGGACCGGGTTGGCTTCACTAGTCAGGGTCTATTTCAGAAAATTCGGGCAACGAGCCGAGCTGGAACTTACCGCAGCCACTTTGCTGTTAATTAGAGCAGTACGGCCAGTTCGACCGACAAGCCAAGCTCTAATGACAATGCGGTCAGGGCGTTGCATCGAGTCCACCAGAGGTAGGTGCAAGTCCAGCACAGAGCTTCAACCACGACCAGCCTAGCTCAAAACGACACGCAGACCAACTTGCAGTGCATGAGTCCATGTGGCCTTTCGGCCCTGACACGGCGACGGCCCCCTCGCTGCCATTTGCAGGTGGGCGGAAAACTGACTGGGTCTGTGCTGCCGTGTTGAGCCGTTGTGCACTGCTCAGCGGCTGTTTGAGCAAGGTTTCAGGTCCCTCGCAAATTCACCTTTGCAGGCCCTAGCTCGTATTTACTCCTCCTTTGGCGATTCCGCACAAAAGACCTTAGTCAATGCCCATGCATGGGTGGCTCGCAGCTCGGCGCAGCTCGGCGATCGAATGGCTCCCTTGGGCCTTCGCTTGCAGACGCTCGCCGCTTTTGCCCTGCTGAGCCCATGTTTGCATTGGGCCGAGCGAGCTGAGCAAGCTGCATTCCACGATGACGACTGCGAGCTAGCATCGAACCTGCCCGGCACCACTGTTGCTCGGCGAAGCATCCAGGAATGCTTCCATGTTCAGGTCCTCTGCTGTACTCCGAGTCGTGTGGCATTGTGTGGCCCGAGTCGTGAGGTTTCTTGGAAGAGCTTTCGCGAGCTACTGCTCGGTGGCTGCGGGGCAGCAGACGAGCTGTTGGAAGAGCTGAGTCGTGGAGAACACTGGAGCCCTTGAAGCTTCAGTTTTCTTGGCTGTTTGGCCAGCATGGGGGTCTGCTTTTGACACTCCGAAGTGTTCGACTGATGTAAGGAGAGGGAAGGAGCAGTGCGAGCTGGGGGTGGCCGCCGCCTGCCTCTGCAAGGCCCACGCGACCGAGGCGAAGCTTTGCATCCGAGGAATAAACCTCCAACGGATGCTTGCGACACGCTGGCCGGTACTGAAGCTGCTGGCGGACCTACAAAAGCCAGCGGCCTTGGCCTACGAGTCATCCTGCAGCAGATTGCAGCATCCGTCACTGAGCTGGGACCTCTGGCTGGAGCAGGACGGGGCAGAGGCGGTGGCCGGGGCGGGCTGCACTTCGTGTGTTCGGTTCAGGTGACTGCATATTCTGACGTTGCAGCCTCCTGGCTCCAGGGCGACTTTGAGGACAGGGCAGGTACTTCTGAGTCCTGAATCACTCCCATAAATCTTACGTTGTTCTTGCCCGGAGGATCCGCCAGCAATTCTGGACACTGCTACCGCGGAAGCAAACGGCCGCGAGGCAGCAGACAAATACGGATTCTGGGTTTCGGGGCATCAGCAGGTTGCTGGCTGGTACTTGTAGCTAGCTTTTTGTCGGACAAGCTTGCAGGGCAAACAAAGGCAAACCGAGCCAATTATAGAAATTTCAGGGTATGCAAGTCGCCAATAGGATGCTCAGGTTCAGGGAACGTGAACTTCCTACAGTAGAGGCCTAGGGATGCAGTTCGTCCTTCGGGAGAACTTGGTTATAGGACGAACGGTTGGGGCAAATCGCGACTGACACGTTTGGGTTCTATGTTATAAGATGCGGGCTTCCCAGCTGAGTCGGAGCAGAGCCTGGGTTAAAAAATGTTATAAGATGCCAAAGTTTGCACAAAGATGCGCACCAGAGCACGATAATTTGCTAGTAGCTTGCACTCGGCTGCAGAAGCGTTGGATGCCCAGGTGTTGTTTGGAAATCTTCATCGGGTGCGATTGCAGAAGGCGCGGGGAGAATTGCGCAAGTCATGAGGTCAGTGCTTTGCGCTGGAGAGGTCGTAGCATAGCTGAGTGGACCGCTATGTGTCCGCTCGGAATCCTGGCAGCTTATGCTGTACGGGCCGCTGGCCTGGTTCTTGGTCATGTGGATGTGCCCCTTGGCCATGGGTGCAGCATGAGCACAGATGAAAGCATAGGAGTAGAGTGTGTAGAGTATAAAACGATCTGACAAGCTCGGCGCCATTGCGCGAGGCACATCCTGCTAACAGTTGCCAGTCTTCCTAGACAGCCTCGTCGACGTTGCCGAGGTACCGTATCGTCCAGCGCGCGATCGAGACGGCGGAGTCCGCCACTGGCCATCACGAGCCTTCGCCACTTCGTGTTTCCCCCGCAATGCCGCTGCCGTCCCCAGGCGATGGCCTCATTGGAAGGAATCTTGGAGTCGCCCTGGCCGATCTTCAAGGCCTGGGGGTTGGGTTGGGCTTGAGGTGCAGATGGTCAGCAGTCGGGTGGAAGTTTGGGGAGGATCAGACGACCAGCACAACTGTGTTGTTTGGAGATGCGCATCTTTCACAATCAGTTCACTCGTATCACGAAAGCTGGCGTTTAGAGATTTGGTTCTGGGTCGACAAAACGTTTGGGGAGCAGGGCCTGATACAACAGGGATCTACGCGTCACCCGGAAAGGGCCCGGGCCGCCAGGGGCCGCCAGTTCGCAACGAGTCGCAAGCAAGGGAGCGCCGCATCACTTCAACGTCTTTTGAGACATTTTGCGAGACGCAGCCCTGTACATCAAAGGGCCCAAGCAGTGTGGGGTGGGACAAATTGCCCCTCGCAAACTACACGCCTCTCGTGCCAGGTTTTGCATGCGATGAGAAGCTTGACATCATTGGCCAGCTTTCACGTGCATGTGGACCTAGTTTCGCCTCAGTCATATGCACAAAATTGAAAGGGTACCATGGACCAGTACCATGTCAAAACAGTGGCGTAGACGAATAGAGCATTGTAAAGGGAGGGTGTCCTGAGGCCTCATGAAGAGAACCTTCCACGATCTGCAGCTCGCTCCAGAGGACTTGGAGGTGGGCCGGGCGCCAGGGCCAGGTCTCATGTCAGGCTGCTTCCAGCTGCGGAGGGTCCAGCTCTCTAAGTGAGTTCAGTTGCAGCGCTGGTGTCCTTCTCCTCCCCAAACAACTGGAGCTTTCTAGATACGAGGGGAGTGCTTCAGGTTGGTGGCGTCGCTGGGCGCTCGAATGTCTGGACGCGTACCGCGAACACACTTCGGAGCGCTGCTGAGCGCAGCCAGCGGGCACACGGCACCTCCGTGGTGGTGTTGACAGGCCGCAGATATCTGTGACTGAACAAATGTATGGTTTGCTGGGGTGCATGGGTTGGTAGACCCGCAGGAGCAGCTCGCTCGGCTTCCAAATCCGTGCCCTCTTGCTTCCGCGCAGGTTTGCCACATCAAAGAGTGGGTCACCTTTTGGACTTGTTCAAGCATGCCGACAAGATGGGCTACTTGGCTCCTCTCGTCATTGTGCCGCTCGAGCCGAATGTCACGGAGTCGTGCTCCAAGATTGCAGAAGTCTACGCAGCGCGGTCTACGATGCCAGGGGGTTGGTCCCCCTGTCTGCCATTTCTGTCACGATTTCAGCAAAGGGCCCAGTATCTCTCCATTTACATGGGGCTTCAGCTTGATCTGCCGGTGTTGTGGTTCGATTTTCATGTGGTCTTCCTTGAAGACCCCTTTCAGTGGCTGCCCTCGGCAGCTCTCGGCCAACTGGACCCTCCCAGATATCGGGAGTCTTGTCAGCACTTTTGCGTCGCTCCTGGCAAAGCGGACCTCTATTTGGCGGATGAATTCTACGCAGCCCTCTTGGTGAAGCCCACCCTGATCTTCATCAGGCATCAGAGTCGAGAGGTGTAATCAAGCATGCGCCTCATCTACTTTGGACAAGCTCTTCCCTGTCCCTGTGAGGCCGACTGAGGCATCTGTCGCATGGCTGCGGACCTTTCTTCTTTGGCTTTGCACCTTCCCCTTTGCACATGAGGCACGCAACGAGGCATGAAATGGCCCCTCTCAACCCTCAATCATCCTCTACCCTACGCCCTGAACCGGAACGGCTAGCATTACGGCGTTGATGGACCCAGTGCACCTCCACATTTTGGACCGTCCAGTGCAAAGCGAACCTGAACCCCAAGCCAAAAACGTGTTAATCCTCCCTCTAACTGGGGATATGCAGGGTTAGGCTGCCAGACGGAAAAGAGCTTGCAAAAACACAGTGTGAGCGTTCAAACCCTCAACCCTGAACCCTGCAATACTCGCCTGGCTGGTCCGAGTGTGCCGAAACCCCTGCCTAGCGACTGGTTGAGCAATGCAGGAGGCAACCAAAAACCTTACAAAACCGAGGAGGCCTTCAGTTCATGGTCTTTCCGGACCGCCAAGACGTGGTGCCCTCGGTGTCAATGCTGCCGCCATCCGAGGCACAGGGCCCAAGCGAAAAGTCGAAATACGGGCGGTCAAGGTCTGGTCTCCTTAAGTTTCATGTGAGTTGTTACATCGTATGTATGTACGTATTACGTACGTACGTACGTACGTACGTACGTACGTACGTACGTATGTATGTATGTATGTATGTATGTATGTATGTACATACGGATGAAACCCACCCAAGACAAAGACCCACAGCGAAGCTTGCCAGATGACACGCAGGAAACAAGATGTATCAGCATTTCCGGAATTCACGAAGCATACATGTCCCAAGTTCCAAGCAATCCTAAAATTCCAAGAGTTCCCCAAATTCCGCCCTGCAGTACTGGATGTATTTTACGATGGGCCGGCTGATGCTGTGGATGGTTTTGCGATTTTTCAGATATTGGAAAGTTGAAAGTTAAGAATTTGTGGGAACTCTTCGAGCTTTTGCAGAGTCGAAGTTGTGGAAACTTTGGAAGCCTCCCGGCTGGTCGAAAGCTTGGAGCGACA